GTTGTGGAATGCAAATCCTGGAAGAACAACGGCAGAATTTTCTTCAAATGCGTAAACTACAATGAATTTGTGAGTATATATTGCTCTGTTGTTTATTGTCATATACAATTGGATGAACTAGGTACTGTGTCAAGGTTTGAATAAATAAACTGTGTTGTGTATTGTCATTTCCACAGTCAGTGAAGAAATATCCATTCTTTAGGTGGTTGGAAGAGTACAAGAAAGTAGTCGCAAAGAAGCTTAAAGAAGATTTGCTAGCTGCAGTGCCATTAGAAGGTCATGGTGAAACTAAATGTCAAGAAGAAATGAAGCTTAAAAGCAGGATTTTTTGATGAAGATAGGATCTATCTCAAGATGGACAAGCTTATCGATCTGGTCCAGCTGTTGGTGGTGCTCTGTTTAGTCATGACTGTCATAGTTCTTTTAGGTGTGGTAGTGCTTATTAGCAAGTGAAGCAAGATTGTGTTCTAGAACTGTGTTGTATCAGTACCGATTAGTTAGCTTTTGCTGCTAGTTGGATGCCAATATGCACAGATGATTTTGTGAACTGCCTATTCATCTGTGATCAATTGGCAACACTAGTTTCAGCTTGTGGCACTAGTTTGATTATTGCAATTAGTGATTGGCTGATTGTAAACATAAAACTGAAATATATGTTAAATAGGTGTTTGCTATTGTCACATTTTTTTTGCCGTTGTTTGGCCTTGTCATCTGAGTTAACCATGGTACTGAATATGTGCTGGAACTGAATTGAAAAAAAGGACAGGAAAGCTGGGCGCTGGAACACAGAAATGGGGAAAATCGGCAAGCTGTGATTGATGGATTTTCTTTATTGTTTGATTGTAATTTTATATCCTCCCTTGCCCTTGATTCTGAGGCTGCCATGTGTAAATGGGGTTGGATGTACGGCCAGCTCTATTTCTATGAAATTTTTTGGAGCTGGTCGCCTGGCTCCAGAAATTTTTAGAGCTGGAGGTGGAGTTGGTCATGAAGCTACATGTGTAGATCAATGGCCAGCCTTTTTCTGATAACTTTAGTTGCCGCCTCCACCACCTTGCCTGGATGCTTTGGCGAGATGGGGGCTTGGTAAACTGCAGGTCCATTGTCTGGCATTGACAAGTATGCCTGCTCATTCTAGAATTTGGACAGAATTTCAATTGAATTGCGACAGAATTTTGACACAATTTCATGATCACAATAACATTCCAAAAATATAGTAGATTTCATAAAGGTTCACACCATTCCAATAACATAAAGGTTCACACAATTACATATATCCAGATAACATAGTAGTTTTCATAAAGGTTCACACCATTTAAGTTACAATAACATAGGTTCAGATACAATAACATAGGTCCACATACATGTTCAGATACATAGGATAAGGTCCAGATACAATTTCAGACATTCCAGACACAAAGCATCAATTGGTTTTCAGTTTCCTTGGCTTCAGTTTTTTCACTAGGCTCCTCTTTTGGACAGTCTTGTCTGGTGAGGCAGCAATGATGGGATCCACACCTTCACCTAGCAGTGTGTGGAGTCGGCTGCAATAAAAGTACCACTATGAGTCATTTTTTGCTCGTGTACAAGTATAAAACAATGAGAATTAATCTGTTGAGTACCCTCTTGTCACCCTAATGGGGCTATTTTGTAGGATCTGCTCTCTTGTGAGCCTTGTGGGGCTGGAGAGTGCATTTGGGGTTGCTGGTGCCAAGACTTAGGCATTGGAAGGATTTGGGGCTGCTGGTGCCAAGACTTGGGCATTGGAAGGATTTGGGGCTGCTGGTGCCAAGACTTGAGCATTGGAAGGATTTGGGGCTGCTAGGTGCCAAGACTTGGTCATTGGAAGGATTTGGGGCTGGTGGTGCCATTTATTGCAGTGTTGGTTCAGTAGCGCTGTCCCCTCCCTTCTTTGCTCTCTTTGTTGGGATCTTTGCATTGTCACCATACTTTGTTGTATTTTTCATTGGCTTCCTTTGCCTGTAAGTTTAGAGACAAATATTCAAGTTAATGAGCACAACAATTTAAAACAACAAGTGAATATAGTAGGTCTTGTCTTTTCTTAGTCCCATTAAAATGGCATTTGTAGCTTGTTTCACCATGGCCTAATTCTCCACATCTCTTGCACTTTCTTTTGTCTCTAATCATCGTTTTCTTGCCGTTTTGTGCCTCATTAGCAGCTTGTTTATCTGCCTCGTTTGTTGCTTCCTTGGGTGCCTTCTTTCCTTTGCTTCCACTACCCTCAAGGAAGCTTTTCATCCTGAGTTTTCTGTACTTGCCAGCTGCCTTCTTGTCAAGGGGTGCCTTAAGCACAAACGACAAATCAACATCTGGCCATTGTGACCTATCAGGCAATGGCTCTATAAGTCTCTTGCTGCCTGGAACCTCTCAACCGAGTAATACTCATGCACAAAGTCCTCCATATTTACATTAGCAGACTGTACACTTGTTATCAAAGCTAAAGCATGCTGGCAAGGCTTACCAGTATGCTGCCACTCAAGGCAGGTGCACTCATGAAGATATGACTTCACAACATGTCTACTATTAGTGTTTGTGGTATCCCAAATCTCTGCTGTAGAACTATCGGAGTCTACAACAGTCAAGTGCCCAAGTCCTCTTGTTCTTGCCTTCAACTGATGTATGACTGCTGGGAGGATTTTCCCATGAAGCCTTTCTGATATTCTTCTCCTTTTCGCCCATAACACCATTATCATCTCTCTGAGTTTGTCTGCGAGCTCCACAATAGGAAGGTCTTTCTAGTCCTTGATCCAATTGTTAAACACTTCAGCAAGGTTATTAGTGATATAATCACATTTTATGTCAGGATTGAAGGCAGATCTCATCCATAGCTTATAATGGTGAGCCTCTAGCCAAACCAACACATCAGGAGTAGCTTCAACAATTGAATTGAAAAAGTAACCGCACACTTTTTGTCTATAAGCTTTAGCTGCAGAATACATCTTAGAGAATACATCACCACCATACCTTTTAATAAAGTTGTTCATTAGATGCCTAAAGCACTCCCTATGTTCAGCCTTAGGAAACACTTTCTGAACTGCATTTTCTAGACCTTTACATGCATTTGACGAGATAGCTAAAACAGGAAGATCTCCTATGGCCTTATGCAAATGAGTCATAAACCAAGTCCAGTTATCTGTTGTCTCGTCATCAATGAAGCCGAAAGCAACTGGGTACATCCAGTTGTGACCATCTATACCACAAGCAGCAGCTAAATGACCATTTCATCTACCATTAAGTGCAGTAGAGTCTATGCTAAGGTATGGCCTACATCCTTCTAAGAAACCTTCAATGCAAGGTTGTAGTGCATAGAAAAATCTATGGAAATAGAACATGTCGTCTACCTTCTTAATACCAATCTCAATAACACTGCTTGGAGACTTCTTCAGTACCTCTGCCCTCCAATTGAATAGCAGCTGAAAGCTATCTTCCCATTTGCCATACAATTCTCTCAAAGCAATTTGCCTACCTTTTCAAACAGTGTCATAATGAATTTGGCACTTCTGCTCATCCTGCAAAGTTTTTTGCAGTTTCTTACAGCCCATACTTGTTTTCTTTCTAAAGTGATGTATTGCCTTTGTAGCAACCCAAGCACTGGTTGGTGTCGTAGTCTTCCTCCTAGCTGTACATGTGTGGTCACCAATAAGCACTATCACATGCAAAAAAAATAATAATTAGTGAATGCAAACAATAATAGAAGGACAAAAAATGCAAGTTAGTACCATAATGGTGCACCCATCAGGTTGTCTACGCCCAACAAGATGCCAAGGACAATCTTCTCCTTTGCAATCAGCAATGTATCTAGTTGGGTCTGTTTTGACAATGTGTAGTTCAAACTTTTCATTTATAGCAAATTGTCTCACAGCCAATCTAAACTCCTTCATGTTAGGATACACTGTGCCAAGATCCATTCTAGGCTGATTTGGATCATGCACCACAGTCCTCTCCCCTGGTAAATAGTCATCAACATCAATGGCTGCCCCAGTTGTATCAACTTTCCAAGTATCGTCGTTCTGTTCACCGCAAACTTTCCTAGCTGTCTCCCTCGCCTTATCAGCCTCCTCATCCTCAAGCCTAAGTCCCAACAATGCATACATCACCTCATCATCCACCATCTCTATTCTTCCCTCTTCATCTCGACTTTCTTCAATGCATAGCGTATCCCAATCAACAAGAGGTGTCCGCAGCTGCTGTGCGGGAGGTTCTACCGTTGCTAAGCTAAGTTCAGGCTCTCCATCGAGCCTAGTACAGGGAAAAAAGCGGTACAGTTAGGAGATCTTTAAAGTTAGATTACCACCATAAATTAGAGGACTAAGAATTATTCTTTTTTTACTTCTTAATTACCACCAGAATGGTTCAAAGTTTCATTTTATCATTGAAAAACAGCACATGAGCGTAAACTTAATAAATGAAAAGGCATTGAGTTATGAGGGTCAACCTAATAAATCAAAAGCCATCAGGTTTATCGCGAACACGTCCAGACCATTGAAAACAAGAAAGATTAATTCAATTTAATGATGGGTCTAAAAAACCAGGCAATCAAGTTCACAACTCAGAAACTATCATATGGGAGCACTGGTCAAAAAGAAGCTAAGTAGTAGAGCATTCGTAAGCAAAAATGCGTACCCTAGGATGAGATCTGGCCGGTGGTTGTCCATCTAGCACTTAGAGCAGTGCGGGCGTGGCCGACGGTGCCGGGACCCTGGCTGGCTACGGGGAGACAGCCGAGGAGGTGGGCTGGCGTGGACGCGTCGGGGCAGGGGGGGCTAGCGTGGACGCTAGCCCGCGTCAGCCCTGGCGACGTCGGTCTGTCCCGTGACTGAACGAACGAGAGATCGAATGGATTGGATACGATTGCTGGTGAGCAGGAGCAAAACGGGAAAGAAAAGAGGTCACGAAAATTAAAAAAAAATTAGCAGCAAAATACAGAAATAACATTCTAGCGAGTGTCTCTAGTTCCACGGCGTCAAACGAACGAATCCCTAAAGAGCTAAGCCCACGTTTAGTAAAGCCAAAATTCCAATTATCTCCCGGTCAGGCACAGTCGCCGGCACAGGCGGCGGTACACCTCCACGATCTGGCGGCGCGCTGGATTCGCGGCCTCGCATAGCGACATAGTTCTTTGGGGGCGGGTTTCCCCGATTGCCTGCCATTGGGCTTGCTTGGTTCTTGTGCCTGTTTGGGAACTCCGGCGAATCGTCTGGGTTGGGGACTGGGTCCTCCTCCTCCTTGCCCCCCTCCCGATGGGGGGCTGGAACCGGTCGCGGCATGTAAGGTGGCACCGCGACCGCCCGCACCGCCCTCCGCTCCCTCCGCCTGATTACGGTACGGACGGGTACCTCTCCCTCGCTCCTCGATTTGGATGGTGCTAGCCCGTAATCTCTTTGGGTAGGATTGGATTCGAATTTGTTTCGTGTCGTTAGGTTCTTGCTAATTCTAGTCGAACAGAGATTTAGTGACTCCGTCATTACTTCGAGCTTAGAATCAGAGTTATTGATGCAAATGGCCTGTTGTCTGAAGATTTCTCGTGTGTGTACATTTTTCTTTACTTTGCGAAATGTTATACTGAAATGTCAGAAGAGAAAATGCTAGTAGCTTCGGAAAATGCACCTGTTGGAGATAGCCATTCCAATTTGTCTATTTGGGGGAATGGGAGTAGGGAGGGTACTGCAATTGCAAGTGTGCAAGTTTTAGTAATTGCAGATGATTTTTCCAGCCACTGTCTGTAGAGTATCATCAGTTCCTACAAGAACAGGGATTCGATTAGTAATGAGAGGAATTTAACAAATTAGTATTTGAAATGAAGATACTTAGTATTTCAAATTAGAGTATCCAAAATGCTGTGGGGTGTTGGTTTGAATGTTTTGAATTTTATCCCAAATTGTAGCTGGTACAATATTGACCGTTCCTTTTGGTGACGTAGCTGCTTACCTTTAGAGATAATGCTGCCATTTTTTCATAATCTTCATCCAAAATTCTGTATGTACAAGTTTCTTTATCCCAGCTCAAATGCCATACGCTGGCATGGCATTGTGAGCTTGGCTTATGAGTTATGAAAGAACCACATTACAGCTTGAGGTTTTACGTCAAACATTACAGCTTGAGGTCCATTAGCTTGTAATCCTAGAAAGTTGGGTTATGTAGATAAGATGAAACAGTATCTAGAGTTAGCTTTAGCCTTTAGACCTTTAGGGATATGGTTTTGTAATAGAGTTAGTGTTTTGCTTATCATTCTCATTACTGGTGATATATTCCTAGGGTACAAATCAAAAAAGAAAAGGTGAAAGTATATAAAAAGAAAAATTGTGGGGAGTACTCTAGCCATCACCAGTGAGAGTTGCCAAGCAAGCTTCTTTATTTGAATTCTAATATCAGTTTCATATACACAGTACAGAAGCACTGCTCAGTCCCATTATGGGAAAGGGAATTCTGCAGTTATGTTGGCAACATTTCTTGGCAAAGGTTCTGTGAAAACAAGCGATATATTTCAGTATGTAATATCCTTGAGCACTGGGATGATTCAGGAGCCTTTGAGAATTTTCAGAATTCAAAGGCAAGATTCTGGGCTCACTATCATGGCCAACCTTCTGATATTTCTTTGCCGGACCCTGATATGTACATTGATAAGGTCGACCATCGCTGCAAAGTTGACCCTGAGTTGGTAGCTGACCTGGATAAGGTACGGGTACCATTTGAAGTGGATAATAGTTCTGGCCTGGCTACTGGATCGACCAATGCCAGGGCAGATAAGAACCAGTGCGGAAACTGGGATATCTATGTTGAAAAACCATCTGAAGTCAATAGGTGGGACTGGGAGGCTAACTCAAAACCCGACTTGAGTTGGGGAGTGAAGAATGAATCTTCCAGTATATGGGGTAAGAGCAGCTCAGGTTGGGGTGATGCTCTGGAGAAACGCAATTGGCGTGGCTCGAGCAACGACCATTACTCATCAAACAATAGAAATAGCGACTTTTATGGTGGATCCAACAATAGATACCAGCAGGAGGATCCAAGTCACGCATCTGGAAGGAAACGGAACAGCGGAGAGTACTTCCAGCAGAGGAACAACAAGCATAGGAGACAGGATGAGCGTTACCAAAGAAGCAGTTGGCAGGATCACAGGGGAAGAAATGATGAATGGCGTCCATGGCACTAGATGACTTGCAAAAATGGTTATTAGGGAAAACGTGGCTCTTGATTTTGTGACAAAATCGTGAAGGCCTTGTTCGGTTCGGTGGGGATTGGATGGGATTGAGGTGGATTTTATCCTCTACAAGTCAAAATCCCCCTCAACCCCCTTTGATCCCCTCCAATCTGCTTGGATTGCTGATTAACTGAACAAGCCTGAAGAAATTTTGGTGAAAGACCAGTAGGTTGTAGCCTTTGTTTTGACAGTTGCCGGGCCGCTGGCAAAGTGCTGCCTGTAATGTGATGTTTTTCTTTTGTTGTTATGGGAGCATGGCTGCTAGCTTGTTACCATTTCAGTGCAAAGAAATGTTCTCCACCTGGTTGTACTTCTCCATTAACACAATGTGTTATTTGGATTGGTACCATTACAATTCTCAAAGTTTAGAGATCTGCCAATACAATTCACATATTCTGAAATGTACCATTATAAATCTCTGTTTCCCTCATCAATTCTACGTCTTCCAGCTGCTTGGGCCCACTGTCAGGCGTATGTTTTTGCCCCTGTCCCATTGTGAAAGGAACCTGCGCCCATGGCCTTATCTCGCACTCTCTTCTTCCTCTCGCTCACTTGGTCTCTCTTCTTCCCTGCCCTCACAAATTGGCAGATATGTGGAGATTTTTGCCACTTTGCAAAAACATGCAAACTGGTAGAGATTGGAGAAGATGGTGAGAGAGCTCCACCTAGGAACAAGGCTAACAAAAACCTGCTCACTCTGTAACTTTCTTACTCTATTGTAATGCAATTCAGTAGGGGCCAAAACCCTTCCTGTTCTTTAAAAAAACAAGGCTAACAAAAGGTACCCTTCTGTCCACTAAATTACATCACCTGTTTTTTACTTCACAATATCTAATGTTACCTTCACAATTAGCCTGTTCCCTGGTTGGTTTCTGGGCTGATAAGCCCGACTGGTGCTAGTTTGTTGTGAGAGAAAAACACTGTGCCATGGTTGATAAGCCCTGGCTGAAACCAACAAGCGAACAGGCTGACTGTAGGAAAGAAGCTCCAACAGAGGAAGCTAGTCCCTCCCAAGCCAAGAAAAAGATAGTTCAGAAGAAGAAGGGCACCCCAAATAAGAAGAAGGCACCCATGAAGAAGAAGCTGAAGAAGGCTACAGTCAACCCGCCTACTAGAGTTGTTAGTAGCATTAGAAGGCTGGTCTATGAACACTAGAGCCTGTGAGCAGCTTATGATCTCCTGTTGTAATAAATTTAGAACTTGTATGCTGGTATGATCTACTTTTGTGAGATGTGGCTTTGGAACCTAGTAGTTGGTACGCTGGAACCTTGTAGTTGGTACGCTGGAACCTAGTGGTTGTGAACCTAGGGTGTTAATTTAACAACTTCTGTACTGATATGTTGTTGCTCAGTTCTATTAATGAAATGACAGATATGGTCTAAAAGATTGTGATTCCAACTTGTGACGGCCAATATGGCATATATATGGTACATGTTCTGAATTTTAACTTCTGATGGCCTGTATGACACGTGTATCTGTTAGAACAAACAATTGTGAATTGATACCATCTGAACACACATTCATTTCACCTTTCGCTTCAATTTTATGGTAACATACACCCACACAGACACACATTAGCTAACCCACACACACATTAGTTGTTCACTTCCACCTACCAGCAACAAAGACAGCAATCAGGACACCTACAAAGCCTACAAACACAGGCGCTACAACTGAAGAATCGAGCACAATCTGCAACATCCTCATGTCCAGTTCAGGCTTCAGTTCAGGATTCAGTCCAGGCTTCAGCTCAGCAAGTTGCACCTTTAGTTTCCAAAGCTCAGCTACAACAGTATCCAGTCTTTGCTTGACCTCTTGCAATTCTTCCTTCAATTCGGCGTAACAATCATCACCTAATGCATCCTTCCCAGTCTGGACCGGCGTTCCTGTGCTTTCAAGGCCTCATACTCCAACTCAGAGCGGATGAAGCCACAGGTAGTAGGATCACCCTGCATTCAAAACAGAGTAGTGTGTCAATCAGAGAAGCATCAAGACATAGTGAGGTCGACAATGTCAAGAATCCTAACCTTTATGTTCTACGGGCACTTGACGAACCACTCGTCCTTTGTCGCTGGCTGCTTGCTCTGGATCCGGACCAAAGGAACATGGCAGAAGGGACACTCCCTTCCGCCGCTGGCCGTCGTGCTCGAGCCCGTTGAAGTTAGCTTCATCGGGCTTCCAGTCCACTTCCCCGGCTATGGCTTCAAAAGCTGGACGCGGACAAGGAGCAGAGCCTCGAGAGAACCAGCCGCAGCTCGCCTTGGCAGTCGGATCCGGCGAGGGCTACAGTCTAGGGTTAGGGTTCTTCGAGGCCGGAGAAGAGCGCGGGCGGGGAAGAAGAGAGACAGAGTGAGCGAGGATATGAGGAGGGTATGGGGCCAGGGAGCGGCGCGACGCTCGACTGTGGTAGTGCTTTCCTGCTGCTTCGACTAGATGGGCGGAGATTTGGGCGGAGAAGGGAAGCTACGGAAGCCTAGTAACCGAGCGATATACTACAGTACACTCCTTCGTTTTCATTTTTTCTCCTAGCTAGTGGGTCCCACTAAATAACCAAACCCAAACCCAAAAATAAACCAATCATGGCAAAGGATAAGGGCATGTTTGCAACGCAGGAATTTCACAGGAATCACGTAGGGATTTCACATGAAAACAAGGGAATATGATTTTTTTTCCGCAATCAAACAGACCCTGAAATATGAGTATCCCTCTCCATAACCGTAACCAACCTGGTCATATCCATCTGCATCTTCTTATCCCAAAACCAATAGCTATCCAAACGCCACTTAGGGTAACAGGTATACCCACTGGTAAAAGGGTATGGGGAGGGAATTACCCGATTGCCCAGTCTTACTCATCCCCAAAAATTTCTTCACGAGGGCAAGGGAGAAAAGTTGGCGATAGCGGTCAGTGCTCGACGGTCGATTGACGGCCATGGCTCCCAACCTCAGCAAGACAACACTTGTTGGCCTCCTCGGCGATGAGGTGGCCCCACCCCCGTAGAGAGCCTCAAAGCCATCACGGGTCACACTCAAGGGCAATGATCGCCGCGGACGACAGCTTCCGAGGGCTTCGACGCGGCGAATGGTGCTCGACCGCTCTGGCGACTTTGACAGCGGCGGGCATCCCTATGTGCTGCATCATAGAGGGCTCCTTCTGTGTCTACCTCAAGGCTATGAAAGACAGATGAATGTGGACCTGTGCCTGTCTCAACGCATGCAAGCATACAGAGCAGCATTAATTGATTATTCAGTCTACTTGTCCATTGACTTCCCCGTTATCCAATGGGTATGGCCAAATGAATATGTGTGTAACTGGAGAGGGTGAGGAACGGGGGATGAGTCCGATGGGTTTGGATTTGATCATGTTTGGATTTATCCAAACCCACCCAACGGCTAGCTGCCATTCTTTTATCTAACCCTTTTCTATTTGTTTTTTCTAAGGCTTTCATTCCACTGAAGGCGGAGTTTTTTCTATTTAATTGTTATATCCTTTTGTTTGTCGATTCTTTAAGAATGATAGCATACCTTTATGCACATAGAAACTATGAATTGAAATTATAGTTTTGTTAGGCACTATGTATATTAATCTATAAATATGTAAACTATTCTGTAATATTATGGCTGAAACTGTCCTTATATATTCTCTCGTATAAATCAGGTTCACAAGAGCCACGACAAGCTAAGTTTGCTCGAAGCTCATAAATTCACTCTCTAATTAAATATTCTGCTACTTTACTTTTTGTATCCATTTGCTTCATTCATTTGTTCCTCCTTTACCGCATCTTCAAAATTTCCGCCGTAACGCGTGGGAGGTTTACCTAGTTTACACAATGAACCGACAACGTTACATTTTGGCACCTTCCGTAATCATGTTCTGGCCATCAGTACAGCACCGAGTGTTTTCACATTTTTAGAAAAAAAAGAAACAGTATCTGCGGTGTAATTGTATTTCAGTTGTATTATTTTTTATCTGCGGTGTAAACAAAGCTCTCGTTGTATTTCATTTGGATTATTTTTTATATTAAAATAAAAAATATCTTTCCAGCTCTGCGTCCAGCGTCCTCCCCGCGACGACGCTTCTCGAGCTCTCTCCTCTGTTCCCTCTCCTCCCCGCGGCTCTCCTCTGCCCCGCTCCGCTAGGGTTTTGCCGCCGACCTCTCGCTCGCTCACCCGCTTCCGGCTCCGCGAGGCAACCGTCCGACCGGTCGAAATGGTGGATGTGGAGGAGGTCGGGAACAAGATGCAATCGCAGATGCGCCTCCACGCCGAGCCGGAGGACGCCGCCGCCGACGACCTCCCCCTGCCGGCCCTCTTCGACAGGGCGTCGCGGCTCCACGCCCTCGACCAGGTGCCTCCCTCCCCCCGCCCCCCGCCCCCGCTTCTGGGAACTGGGATCGCCCCGCCCCTTCTCCCGCTCACCAAGAGATAGAGATCGGGCGAGCGGTGCTTACGCGCTTGGATTTTCTGACGCGCAGGATGGGATCCGCACGGCGGTTGACCTGCTGCGGCGCTGCGACGAGATGGTCAGCAAGCTCGGCCTTTTCTCCCCCAACGAGACGAAGGAAGACGTCTCCACCGCAAACCTCAAGTACCTACTCGTATGTCCGTCCCCCTCCCCCTCCCCCTCCCCCTGACTCTGCTCCCCGTACAAATCTATGAAACAGGTCGTGATGGTATTAGACGCCTGGTCAGTTTTATTCAGTTGTCATTACAATCGCCAATCACGCCTGGTCAGTTTTATTCAGTTGCCAGTACACTTGCAAATCACGCCTCGTCAGTTTTATTCAGTTGTCAGTACAACTGAAAACCACAACAGTGCTAAAAAACTTAAGAATTGTTCCAGTGTTTCACAAGTTCGATTTTCTTCTGTATACCTCTGATCATTGTTTGCATTCATAGGTTCCGTATTACCTTGCGGAAATGACTGAGAAGATAGCTCAAGAGGATCGGATCCCGGTTCTTAAGGCATCACAGGACCATTTGAAGGTTATCAATTTGCCCTGTCACATTGTTTCACTAGGTGCAGCTTTTTAATTCGTTTATAACGAGGGGTCTCTACTCTCTAGCATGGTACTTTGTCATCACGTTACCTCATTTTGCACTCCACAGGAGTTCATTGCTCTATGTGAAGTACTAGAGCTTATTCCAGAGGATGAGCTAGAATTGTCCAGGCAGAAGCAGCCTGATACTATGGCAAACAGAAGAGCGCAGAAGGTGAGACTAAATTACTTTCCCTTTAAATTCTTAAGGTATCAGTCAGCAGTTTCTAATCTGTGATTGGAGCACAGTAATATGGACATGGTTCTCTTGTTGTGCTGAATCTATTATGCACATGCTGATTTTATTCATAAGATGTCTAAGGTGGGTCAGTTTCCTGTAATTCACTCTTTATGTTTATTGTTTCTTTTCCTAGGTTGCCCGGTTTAAACGTCAAAAGGCTGCAGAAACGAAGCTCCAAGAGATCAGAGAGAGAAAAGAAAGGCGTGGACGCTCATTGAGAGCAGCTGCTTTATCTGCCCCAATTGAAGCTGGAGAGGAAGATGACCTGGAGGATGATGGGGAGGAAGAAAGAGAGGTTAACATCCCGCATATTGAAGCTGTTTTCATGACATGTTTAGGTTTCTAAATTCCAGCATATTTCAAATTAGAATGATCCGTGGTATACCATTAATATGGCCTTAGTTTTCTTAAAAGGAGAGATTTTTTTTTTTTTCAAAAATAAAATGAACTGTGATATTGTAGTAGATAAAGCTTTTCCATTTGATGGTGGTATTTTAATTTATTTAGTCTGATGCTTGTAGGGAGCTTTACAATTTGCTGCACTTAGCTAGGTTCTTAAATACCTGCAGGCTGTCAACCACATACCCTGTATGCTCCTTTTAGTGTATACCAAGCCCATGAGGATCTTTTGTTCTCTTTAGTCAGTTTGTGACACAGAAACAGTGCTACCATCAAATTTATCCCATAGCATTCAAATCCTCACTTCAAGGTCTTCAATTTTTAGCCCTCAGTGTGTACTTTCTATGCTATTTTGTTTCTCATGATTGAATAGTTATTTTGGAATCTTGTTAGTGCTGTTTTGTCTCTTGTCAATGTGTCCTTCCAACTTGTATTAGCTTGCATTCGTTTTTATATTAATCAGAATATATGCTCTGGTTCTGATTTCCTCTTTCTGTGCTGCAGGCTTGGTTAGCTACAATCTCACTGGCTATCTGCAAGGTTAGTTTGTTGTGTCGACAAATATTACATAACACTGTTGTTGAGTTTTTTCTCTGTTTCAAAAATTGTAGTACTTGCATTCATAGTAACATTTGATGCATTAAATTTTTTATTTTCATACACAGGCTTTTGATCTTCTCGACATACTAAAGAAGGAGGAAGAAATGCTTCTAGCTGTAAAGGAAAGGAAGGCAAAGGTAATGCTAATGATGGTGATTTGGTAATTTCTTGTCAGTAGCATCTTAGGTCAATTATAATCAAAGAAACATTTTTTTCTTCAGAGAATGTGGGAGTCTCAGGCTATCATGTTTCACAAATAAGATAAATGCATACAATGTCCGCTTTGTGCAATTTGGATCAGATGTATTGCTAGCCATAATGACAAAGTTTCAACTTGGAACCAAACTTGAAAAAAATAGTTTGAAAAGAATAGGTAGCTTTCATGTAGATCAACCCGCAAGGTGTTAAGAGTAGTTGTGTTTCTCAAAATTCTACATATGGTTTGTTTAATGTTAACTGAAGATATTCTGTCTTGTGATTGGCATATCTTATTAAGATTTGTTTCTTATGATTGACAACTGATACAGAACACCACTGGAAGTATTTCACCCCCATGTTTTTTTGAGGAATTATAAAAATATATTTCAATGGATGAATCTGGTTGTTGAATAATTTGTGCATATTTATGAAGAAAACGTGGATACTAAAACATTTAAAAGTTACACTTTATAGAATCCAGTGGATCTTCTACCAATAAGCAGCCACTTCCATCGATGGTGCTTTGGCTTCCTATATTTGCATGGCTGTTTCAAGTAGACTGCATGTATATGGAGACTTCTTTTGTTAATCAGAAAAATTGTCTGCTGTAACATCTCCATTTCTTCAGGACGGGAATGCATTTGCTCGTGAAATGCTTGATGAACGAACAAAGAAGGCTGAAGCATGGCACCATAATGCTGCCAACCGTGTGGCATATTCCAAACCAGCTGATCCAATCACTTGTGCAACATTTGCTCAAGATGTCATTGAAGGTAGAGCAAGCGTTTCACAAGCTCACGAGCACAAACACCAGCCCCTGATATTTGGACCTGCAAGTCTTGTTGGTGGTGGTCTAACCAGTGAAAGGGAAAGAATGGCGGCACAAGTTTTTCAGCCTAGTTACAGGTATGCTGCATGCCTTAAATTAAGTGTTATACCCCTGAAAGCTGATGTTTACCTTGTGTTATACCCTAGAACACCTCAATGCTTACTGTTTTTTTATGTTACGCATTTCTCTAATGATGATAATGTTATTGCTGAATGTGGAATAAGCACTAGTTATCACAATTCCTTTTTTTTAACTGGGTTATCACAGTTCCTAATAAAACACACTTTGAACTTTTTCCTTATTGGTGTAGCCATAAGATATAACAAGTTTCAAGTCAGATGTAAAATGCTTAGATTTGTTGGTAGCGACCGGTTGATATTACTAGTGATATAATCCTTACCCTACCCCTGGATTCTTGATGCTTCTGAGGATCAAGAAGCATTATCAGAGCTTAGGAGACTGTCATCTGATTCATTTTCTTTTGCCTGTTTGTCCTCGCCTGAATCACAGGATGCCAACAATGAGCATCGAAGAAGCTGGTTTGCGCGAGATGAAAATGATGGAGAAGTGGCAAGAAAGGACCGCTGAGATGATGAAAGAAGCAAACTCCGCGTGGCACAAGGATGGCAGCAGCTCGGCCCAAGAGGACGAGGACGCCGAGGAGGCGAAAGCAAGAGCGTGGGACGACTGGAAGGATGACAACCCCCGCGGCGCAGGCAACAAGAAGCTCACGCCCTGTGGCTAAATTGTGAAACACGCGCTGTATGGGTAATACTCCACATGGAACACGATGCTCATGTAGATCGTACGATGTTTGATTTGATCAATATTTAGTTTGCGTTTTTCTAGTGACGTTCAGTGTATTATAGACTGTTTGTGTAACAGTGTAAGTGCGATACGTTCTTCTGGAGCATGGGGAGCCGTACGCCCGTTCTGCGACTGTCATGCTTATACATTATTAAAAAATGAGCCTGGTGGTTCGGTGCTGTCTGACTTACATGCACCATCCACAGGCCACGGCTTCTTCTACACTAAATATTTTTTCTGTAGAATGGAATGGTCTATCATAATTTCATCATCTAAATGGTCTGTCATAATGTATGAACATGTATATTGAATGTAATGATCTGTCATAAGGTCATTCTATAAATTCTGATAGGATGTACACATGGCTTGTTATAAGGGTAGTCATACAATGTAGTAAGTACTCGAGAAAGATGAGGTGGTGATAGATTGAGGCCCCCTTTGGATGATAGAAGCGTTTTGGATTCTCAGGTGAATCACCAGAATTGCTGCTAAATGCCTTTTTCAGTGAATCAATTCTCTGTAAAATACCTATAAACGTTTCTCTGTTTTGAACTAGGAACGAGAATTACCCAAATAGGTGTTTCGTAGTGATTCTTTCATTTCAAGGTGAATCTGGATCAATAGCTAAATGTTTCATCGATTCTTACCAAGTGATTTCTATTTCAACAGAGAGACGTCTCTGGAGAGAATCTGGATCTAAAACGTTTCTAGAAGAATCTAGCCATACCAGCCATACCAAACGGGGCCTAAAGGAAATAAGAATCGGAGTATTTTTGGGATGGATCATCTCTGTCCCTTCTCTCCTCAAGCCAAACACCGGCCCTCCCTTTTGATGGCTCAACAACTGCCAAGAAAGGTCAGCTAGAACGGCCTCACTGGTGGGTGGGCAAGAGCTGCTGTCTGCTACCGGAACCGGAATCGCCACACGGCGCATGGAAATGCAACTGCAGCAAAAACGGACGGATTGCTCTGCCCTTTTGCTGTTTTTCATCATCATCCAACTAGAAAGCAAGGAGAGGACAAGGAGGCAAGTGCAGCCGTAACGCAGCCGAAATTCCTGATGAGTTTCCCATCCATCCACCAACTACTCACTGCTGGCTCGCTCATCAGGGGTCGTCACGTACGCTATCTGTACCTCACTGTCGTCAGGTTAGTTTCCTGACACTTTACGAAACGCCACCGGAAGTTTCCTCGCACCTTCGTTCAATTCAACCTGCTGTGTGTACTAGTATGTACACCGTATACGACACCAAGAGGTACCCGGTAAAAATGCAAACATATCTCATGTGTGTGTGTTGCTGGTGCAGTGTGATACTGACGTCTGTTTGTTTGAGTACCCGTGAAAGTATCATTATTTTTAAAAAAATGTAGACCGAGATTACGATGCCGACTTGGTGTCCCTTTCTCTGAACTAGCTACGAGTTCTTACACAGAGAAGTTTTTTTTTTAAGCTACACCCGTACGTGTCTCTATAACCGTACGTGTTGGGTTGCATAATGGTCGACTAATCCAGTTTTCATATCAGCCGCCAATTGACCGCCGTTGCTTGGATGTTGGATCAATCTCTCATGGTCGATGCATGTCACCGTCAATGCATGATCATCTCTCCCTTGGTTATAAAAACTAAACTAGGCTAAGATTTAATCAAACTTCTGAAAACTACAGAGGCACAGAAGTAACCTGTAAAATTATGTTTGCAAAGTTAAATGGAATAGACAAACCGTATGGCCAAGCAAATGTCCACGCTCACTACATGACCTTGATGCTCGAGCTAGCGTTAGGTGCGGCGGTGGTGCATGCAGTAGTATGCAAAAAGATCGCCGTCGTCGGGCCCATGCAGACGACGACGACGACGACGACGTACGACGCATCCATCTCCGCCGTACGTGTACGTACGCACGACGATGGGGATCTAGAGAGGAGGAAGAAGCCTTCAAAGCGGAGACGAGCGAGAGAATCGCATCGCGTGTCGGGGGTGAGGTTGTGAGCGCAGGACGTAAGGTAGGCCGCGTGCGAGTGCGAATGAACCGGCCGTTAGTTTCCCGCGCCGGCGGGGCCGGGCGCGAACGAAGCTTCGCGGAAGCTCACTTCCCCTGTCCCTCGCGCCCTCTATAACTCCTCGTCTTCTCCACCCCTCATCTTCCTGCATCCTTCCTCCCGTGATCCCCTCCACACCTCGAGCAATCCATCGATCCTCGAATCCCTCCCCTGCACGGCTGCACTGCAAGGTACGCAAACACCTATCGTCATGAAGCTGAGCATGCCTTTCTTCGGCTCGTCCTCCGGCAAGAAGCAGCAGGAGGTGATCAGCAAGAAGAGGAAGGGATCAAAGAGCGGCTCCTTCGGCTCCACCGCGTCCTCCTCCTCGTCCGACGAGTGCGCGTCGCCGTCCGCCGCCACGACGCCGCGCACCGTCCTCCCACTCCCAGTCCGATCCGCGCCGTCGTCCTCCGGGGACGGCAAGCCGCGGCCGGCGGTATTAGCCGCTACCGTGACGCGGGAGGACCTGGAGGTGGCGCTGCGCCGGGTGGTGCGGAGCGAGGCGGAGCTGGCGGCGGTGCTGGCGGAGGCGGAGGCGGCGGGGCTCGCGCCCGAGGCGGCCGCGGCGGCCGAGGCCGAGGACGAGGCCGAGCTCCGCGACGCGTTCGCGGTGTTCGACGCGGACGGCGACGGCCGGATCTCGGCCGAGGAGCTCCGCGCCGTGCTCGCCTCGCTCGGCGACGAGGCCTGCTCCGTCGACGACTGCCGCCGCATGATCGGCGGCGTCGACGCCGACGGCGACGGGTTCGTGTGCTTCGACGAGTTCTCGCGCATGATGATGCCGCAGGGGGGCGGCAGCGTGATGCTTGCTGTCTGTCTTAGCTGTTGCTAGTTTGTTTGGTACTGCTGTAGTGTCGGTGTTGGCGTGCATTCGGCCCCTCGTGTTTCTTGTTCCCTGTTGCCAAATCTGTACCTAGCTATGTGCAGCTGTTTTTTGGTGTCATCGATTGATGTCAGTTAATACTCGTACTATCGTGTCTTCTTTTCCAATCCAGAGGTTTTGTTGTTCTTTTCCAATTCAGAGATTGGTTGACCAATAAATTTGTTTTTTTCCACAAAACGTATGAAAAGCGCTTGCATACACACAAACACGTACACTTAATCCTATAAACATGAAGATATACACACTATCCTTCTTAAAAGTAATGAGTTCACTACAAATGTCTCGCTATGTATTGATAGACACACTTCTACATAGGGCGTGTTCGCTGGTCTGGTCCATCCAGACCAGCCGGCTGATCCCCCTCAGCAAACACTATTCATCAATCAGCCGTTACAGTATTTTTCTCTCACAAAATCAGCTAGTTTCAGCTAAGTTTCGGGCCAACGAACGGGGCCATAAACATTTTGTAGGGGCGGCTCAAAACCATTTATAGGAACGGTTTGGCCAGCCGCCCCTACAAATCGATTTGTAGAGGTGGCTGGTGTTATCAGCCGTCCCTACAAATCGATTTGTAGGGGCGACTGTAGTACCAGCCACCCCTATAATACATGTTTGTAGGGGCGGTACATTTTTCCGTAAAAAAAAATTCAAATTCGACCAGAACACTGTTTGTTTTCGTGTATTCCATCCAGCGTTCGCGTTGCGAGTGAGCGAGGAAAGCGAGATAATCCCACCGAACGCCCCGCGACCAACGTTCCGAACCGCGTTCGCTCAAGAGTATTATATAAACTACAAGCACAAGAGTATTATATAAACTACAATTACAAGTCCAATTCACAAGAATATATAAAATCCATCATTAAATAGACATAATTCACAAGGTAAAACCAATGTCAAATTCTATACACATTGTTATCAACGGCCTAGAGCTAGCCTTTCAGTCTCACGAAAGTGTTGGTATCGAGGATTTCTACCTAAGTCAGACTCTCTGCCATGGCAGGTGCCTTTGACGTGTACAATCTGGCCCAATATAAAGTTGCAAAGGTCGCCGGCGAGCTCTAAGAGTTGGTCATCCTTGTATGGGTCTCTTTTCATTTCTTTATCTTCTTTCCACTACAAGAGAACAAATTTTGGTTTAGTATTTCATACCATGTACGAAGTTTTTATACTACGGGTGAAGAGGTTCAAACTTACCCTTAAAGGGTGTCTCCTGTAGGCACCGATGTTACTCATCATAGAACATACATAGTATCTACGGTCAGGTAATGGGGAGAGTTTTCCCCTCGGCGGTCCGCCATGGCCGACGAGACGAGTTCTTGGCCCGGGGCGATGCTCCTTGCTCTTTTGTCTCAATCGAGCAGGGCTGTTGCCTCTCCTTGACTCGTTTGCCTCGCCCATGTAGTGTCTCCGCCGACGGAGCAGCAGGGCGTCGGGAATGCCTTCACCGTGGCCGGCGTGAACCGAAGCAACCTCACGCACGTGGCTAGCCCGTTGCCATTCCTCGCGACTTTGCCCAGCTCATCCGCCATGTCTTTGGTGAGGCCCTCTTGTTCCTAGGATAGGCGGTTGAGCTGATTAGGAGCTAGGTCATCCTAGACGCCTTGGCTGCCGCCGGCGAGGTGGCTTCGATGCCGTTCCTGTGGCCAGCTCGATTGTGCGCGGTAGTGATTCAATTAGGGCTTCAAGGTAGTTGCTCTTAGCCTGTAGATGGTTACCGGGTAGCAGTAGAGGCGTGGTGTTAGGTGATTTCGCCGGCGTCGGGTTGCCGCGGCTAGACCCCGCCGCGGTGCGTGGCCACGCCTACGTGATGCTCTATTCTTGGCGTTTGTTACCTCAATCTGTTGCGCGTTGCACGTAGAGGCTCATGGGGGTGCTGGTTGGTGCTAGAGAGGTCTGTGCTCGCCGGCGTTTGGCCGGCGAGGCCGCGGTCTCTGTTATTCCGGCCAGGGACTTTGTAAAGCATGAATTCGAATAGAAGCAGGGTTCTAGATGCGAAGCCAATGACTCATTTAAATAGTGCTCTGGTTAGCTTCGCGAATAGGAGAAAGAATGGGGACTCGTTTGCAAAAGCACCAGCCGCGCGTGGGTCTCCCCGTGTTGGGCCGTGGTCGCGGGAACGGGCCGCCGCGTGGGCCATGCTGGTGCACGCGTGTGGGTCGCTGTGGTGGGCCGAGCCACGTCGCAAGTTGGGCCACGCAGTAGAATACGCTTTCAAATTTCCAGTGAACTATAAACGTTTATTCAATTAAGTTTTGAGGTGAACTTTGATAAATTATAGTAAATTCTATAGATGCCCAAAAATAATGAAATTAAATTTGTTAGATTCACAAAAATACTATCTATCTGTTAGTGTAGTTAGTTTACAGATAGCTGTGATAGTGATAGGTTCATAAATCCAAACTAGAGAGCTTAGTATTATGTAGATTAATATTTATAGGAATTTTTATGGTAAATTGGTGTTAGGTATAGCTATGAAAATTTTACAGTAGGCTCACTAGATTATTATGTACTTGTTGTAAATTTTATAGCCCTAAAGTAAGTTGATAAATAGAGTAGCTATTATCCTTGTTTTATCGTATATAGATTAAAGCGATATTAGGAGTAAGAATACCTTAGTTGCTGTAATAATGTATGTCATACTTCGTACTTGTTAGGGGTAACAATAGGTAACTTAGTACCTTAGCAGATAGCACTAGCTAGTAGTTAGACAGATGTATTTTTATTTTAAGAGTTGTTGTTGCCATATTACTAAGTATTTCATAATGTTTTCCTAAACGGTAAACGGTCTTTACACGGTCGTCCTTCGTTCAGCGTTTAGACTGTTTACACGATGTTTAAACGAAGTTAAACGGTCTAAACGGTTTTGTACTTTTAAAAAAAATACATATAATTATATATGTGCATGTAAAAAATCAAGTATTCTAGCATTTATACATATTTATCCGAGTAAAAATCAATTATTTTGGTATGTATATATATTTATGCATGTGAAAAGAATCAAATATAGATATTTATGCATGTAACATATCAAGTGTACACATTTATAAATATAATAAACTTAAGTATACAAATTTATCCATACAAAACTAAACTAGATTACCTCGTGTTCGCCTAAACAGCCGTTTAAACAACTGTTTAGCCCGTTTAATACTGTTTAGCTCCGTTCCGTTTAGACCGTTTAGACCTTTTTTTTCTCGTTTTTTGACCGTTTAAACGGTCAACCGTTTAATTTCCGTTTACCCCCTAAACAAAATAGTTTACCACCGTTTACCGTTTAGTGGCCGTTTAATCGGCCGTTTAGACGAACACTGGTATTTCATCATCATTTCATGCATGTAGATCACGAGCAGGTCGAGTTCGTGCCTGTGGACGAACAGGAGTACGAGGAAGTCATTGAGGAGTACGAGGAGGAGATCCTCGTGCAAGAGGGAGCCCCGGAGCCTTTTGGTACTGACTTTGCTGACCCGTCGCCTGCCTAAGGCAAGCCCCGGTGCATAACCCCTATTTTATGATCACTGAAATATGATGTACATTTAAGTTACAGGTATTTTATGGAAACTATATGCATAAATATATCTACCCATGAGTCCTACTAGTATAGGTCGAGTAGTTGCTATGCTCAGGATATCGTTAGCGTGAGTAACCTGCCGTTACTCACAAATAGGTGATAAATATGATCACTCATGATAAAATGGTGGAAAAGAAAATGGTGACTGGGCAGGGATATGGTTTGGGTACTGGTGGGTGTAAAGGGCTGTGTCATGCGGCCAATAGGGCATAGCTCGGTTACACTTTTTCCCTGTTTGTGTCAATTATGGACCGGTCGTTGCATATGGCTCTAGGCAAGTCACATACTTATTATCCTGAGCACATACTTGGGTATGGGTGCAGGGAAGACTCGTTGCTCTCTTGTCGTGGATCCGGCTCTTTCTGGACCGACTGATCGGAGGCGGGGATGGTGGAGGTCCTTGCACCGCATTGAGTCCGGGACTAAGGAGTGGGGGCTTAGAGTCCAAGTTTGGACGAGGACCTGGACACCTAGGATAGGAGGGTGATGGGTTAGTCCTGCTTGTGCCTGGGGTACAAGCGGGGCGTGTGTTTTTGGGGTACCCAGCTAGGGGCATTGATTCGCGAATCGCCGACGTTCCGGTGTGGCTTGTCTACGGTTTAGCACCGTAGTAAGAACTGAAAGATGAAAGGTAGAGAAATGGAACTGATTGCTCAACTCTTGCTTAAAAGTAGAACATGTGCTTATATAGACTGGATAGACAATAACTTAATATGGCTAATAATAATAACATAAATAAGGACTCACTATTAGTATTGATTTCTGCCAAAAGAAAACCAGCAAACCATAAAACTTATCATATTCCTTGGAGTCAGAAAATTATCCTCACTAGTCGGATAAGTCTTGCGAGTACATTGTGTACTCAGGGTTTATTTACCCCTGTTGCAGGTAATGCATGAGAAGTACCATTGTGTGGAGGATTCTTCTGGTGGGCTTAGACAGATCTTCGTTCCTTATCGCTAGATGTTTATTTTTAAATTCCGCTGTTTATTATTTCACACTCTGGCATTTGGTAATGTAATAATGTAATTTTTAAGAACTTCTGGTGTATGAAATGGACAAGTATTGTAACTCATTCTCATTATTAGATCCTTGGAAAAAATGTGGATCTTTCAGATTCTCCCTTGGGGCGTGCCCGACGGATATCGCCCGTTGTAGCTTGCTTTTGGGGTGCTTAGTGTCTGGTGGAAGACGAGCACCTCTGTAAGTGTGTTATTTCAGACGGTTCTGCCACAAGTAGCATCCATCTCATATCATTGCAAACATGAGCAGTGGTAGTTCATGATGAAGGAAGGAACTAGTGCTAGATGGATGGATCGAAGATAGATAGATAGATGCAGATCGATGAAAGCAAGTATAAGATGTTGATAAGATGAGGGTT